CCCCCTCCTGTTCCCCACAACCTACTAAAGATGATAGAGAGTGGCCTAGTAATGACTCCCGCCAGCTCCCTTAGCACCCACAGGTGCATGCCATCAGGGCCCATGGATTTATGGATGTTCAAGTGTTCAAACTGATCCCTAACCCAGTCCTCCTCAACCAGAGCAAACTCCTTTATCTTGCCTTCCTCTGGAGCCTCAGGGGATTGAGGCACCTGAGGGCAGTCTCCAACAGTTTAGACAGAGGCAAAGAAGGCATTCAGTATCTCTGCCTTCTTTCTGTCCTCTGTCTCTAGGACACCCACTTCATTCACCAGAGGGCCTACATTGCCTCTAGTGTTAGTTTTCTCGGCAATGTATTTGAAGCAGCCCTTTCTGTTGTCCTTGACCTCCCTCGCAAGTTTTAATTCCAAGGAGGCCTTAGCTTTTCTAATTGACTCCCTACATCCTCTGACAACAGTCCTATACTCAACTCAGGTGGCCAGCCCTTCCTTCCACAATTTATATACCCTCCCCCTCCACCTGAGTCTGCCCAGCAGTTCCCTGGTTAACCATGCAGGTCTCCTGGATCTCTTTCTTGACTTCCTCCCTGTTGGGATGCGCTGATCCTGAGCGTGGAAGAAGTGGTCCTTGAATACTGACCAACTCTCTTGGGCCCCTTTACCTCCCAGTTCCCTGTCCCATGGGGTTTCCCCCAGCAATTGCTTGGTTCAGTTCTTTGACATCCCAGCCATAAGGTTCCTCCTTCAAATCCAAATTCTCAAAGTGCAAGAACGAATACATCTTCTGAAGTAAAAGAAGCGCATCCATCAGTACTTCATGAAATTCAGCATGGCAGCACATCAGGCACAATGAAAAATGAAAACCAGCAAGTCATTAAAGTAGGTGATAATCAGTTGGTGTGATTTGACCTTTTTGTTACTCTGATAGTGCCTCCCACAGTGCCTTTGCTGACTTAACTATTTGTGTCAACTTGCAGTCATGCTCTGTAATGAAAGGTGCCTTCCCAGGCAGCCTCCCGAAACTACACCAAGTTCACATTCACAAAAAACATTCCATCCATCCATATGCCATTCCAATGAACACACTAAAAAACCACATTCCTACTGCTTCAACATGAGCTTGAGGCCACGTGCGAGTCCTCAGTAGGGCCACATTTCATCATCCTTAGTTATGGAGATAACAAATACAAGGTTTGGGCATTGGTGCTGATGTCCATCCTAGAAACATATTTCACCCTGCAGTTATGAAATAGAAGCTGAAAATTAGCAAAATCATTACTTACTCTGCTGTGCTGAGTATCTGAGCTCCATAAATATGGGCAGGCTCCTGCACAGAAATTAGCATGATATCCTTTAGGTTCATGAATCCATTTCCAGCCAAGATCCCTCTTGAAGTCAATATAAAGTGGACGCAGACAGCAATTATCCTGCACATTCCTGGGAAAGAAAATAAGGAAAACAAATTGGTCGTAACAAAGTCAACAAAGGGAGTAAAAATAATCCAGTTGCTTGCTCCTTGAATGATGCTTTGTAGGCAGGGCAAGTCTGAGCCCCAAAACCTCACAATCAAACCACGTCAATAGTACCTCATACTGTAACTGAAATCAGATGCTTAGACATGGCAGGACTTGCTTATACAGACAAAACTAATAGTTTACCTGGAGGACTAGTAAGTATTTTTCTCCAGGTCCTACCAAGTGGCCTCTTTGAGTAGGTGAGCACAGTGAAGGTGATAATTTGGCCGTAATTATGGGGCTGATGGGTCTGGGAATCATCCCAGACGGAACTCAGCTTCTGCTTCCTAAGGCCACAACCTCTCTCATCTGCCACTGCCTCTGCAGCATTGCAGACGTCTGGGCAGACACCTGCTGCCCACAGACCCTGTGGGTCTGCAAATGAGGATCCACGCTCTGTGCAAATGCCAATCATAAAGAAACGTGATAAGGAAGTGCATTACACCTTACAGGCCGGTACTACTATGTAAGTACACCGAATATGGACGCGTAGTTACCTAAAACAATAGGCAGCATCTAGAGCACGCTTCTTCCGTCGACTGGGCTGTTGCGACTCAAGTCTGTAGGAGGGTAATAACATTAGCAGAAGATGTGGGGTCTTCCCACTGTATTTTTTCCTATTGGACTTTAAAGCTTTCACATCACCACTGGAATATGTGTAGTCATCAATACCTTCAAAAAATACATTTTGGTGATAAACATTGTGTTGCTTTTTCTTCACAAATTAAATAAACCATCTCTTAAAAAAAATTCTCTCAGAAACTGGGCAATGACAGTGTCAACTGAGCATGTTTACTGGGGAAGCACTGGCAGATTTCAGCCCAAGATCCCTAAGATATTCACAGTTCTCACATTATCTACTGTATCAGCCCTCTCACAGTCACAGCCATTTAATGTCATCTCACTACATTTACCAGAACTGTTCAAATGAGTAACACAAAAGATTACTTCAGTCACTGCACCTGCATTGCTTAGTTTCAAATGCCTCAAGCAGTCACTTCACTCAGGGTAGTATTTTTATCTTTTAACAGCTATGTACCTTCCAAAACCTTGTAACACCATCAAAGCAGCTCTGGATACTTCACCTGCATTTCGCATTGCTTGCTTCCATCCCATTAAGTTTTCTCTAACACATTTACCTCTTTCTAATGCATGTAAATTCTCTGTCTCCCATTGCCAGTTCATTTAAATCTGCTAGTTTTTCCCAGGAAGCCAGATATTGTAGCCCCTTCTTTTGTATGGGCATGGCAAGGACACTGATCAAAATACTATTTCTTGACATGGTAATGACTTCACATTTTGTGTTTTTTTCTTGAATCACTAACTGCATTACTAGCTTCTTATTGTGGCAATAACACAGGTAAAAAACTTGAGGTATTAGTCCTTCCCAGGAGTCCAAGCATGTTATGCATGTTTCTCATACCCTTCAAAAACTAACTTCCTGAACCAGATAATACAATCTAAAGAAAAGAAGGTACACTTTTCTCTTTGTAACATTTGCAGTAACAGTAAATAAATATCATGCTAACAATTTTTTAAATACACACAATGGCTTTGATTGTAAGTACAGTACATGTAATTACTTAGAGAAAAAAATTCCAAGGCAGTGAAAAAATGGTTAGAAAAACTTACTACTTGACAAGGAATATAGCTAAATCCTTGGAAAACGAACCAAATCATGACACACTTTAATAAACGAGGACTATATAAACAGAATTTAGCTTGATTCTCCACAGTTTTATATGTACTAGTGGATAACTACAGCATAGTCAATTAAATAATGCTTCTCTTTTTGAAACTGAAATATTTATGGCTTAAAAACACAAGGGAGTTTATGCTACCTTGACAAATTTACTCTATATCACCCTGTCTGCTGTCCATAAGAAGCACATATATCCATAACCCTAACTACATTGTTATAATACCCACTCAATCCAGTCTTTAAGTTTTTACCAAGCTAACTGTCAGCATAAAAAATACTTTGTGTAACTAATATACAAATATGTTACAATAAATTTTAGGTGACAATGTAGACATATAGAGATAAACAATGTTAAGTAGTATAGTGTTGTTGACTTCACCTGCGAATCAGACTTCCACTGCTGGAAGTAGGAGCACATACATGGGCACACCACTGCTGTTTCTTCAATCTACAGTGCCCTGGCAGCAAAACACTGCAGGACAGTGATACAAGTCAGGCACCTATTCTTCAGCTCTCCCCAAAGTGACTGATGCCACTGCTCAGAGTAATTTAAAATATTACTGATATGACCACAGGAGAAAAAAAAACAAGGAAATACAGAGTAGGTGGTGATATTCAGTGTGCCTGAAGAGCTAGAAGTACCTGTGCAGGTACCAGCAAAGACTGGAACCCTCTATGCTCAGTGAGGACAAAGGAAGGCACTTCTGTAGGCAAAGCGCCCAGCTCTTGCCTTACTTACATTTTAGGAATTTGCCACAGCAAGTATTAATGCACCACACTTGCAAGTAGCTCACACGCATGTCAAATACCATCCTAAATCCACTTTCTAGCAGTAGCCTTCTCTACTAAGCCTGAACTGTTACAGTGCTAGGATGGACAGCAGTCAGAGGGTTTATTTTGAAAATATTCAGCAAGTTTTCTCATGGCTCTCCAACAGTCGTTGGTCCACCATGTCATGGTCTTCCCTACATCCAGAATCTTACGTATGTCTGCTGTGCATGCTGCAAACCGTAATGCAGATGCTTAAGAACATCCAAGCTGCACGCACAGAATGAGATGGCTTATTAATACCATCCGTTTTTAGCATAGTTCAGCTGATACATTTTACCCTTGTGCCTTCAATACCATTTTGTACCAGCAGAGAATCAAGATTTTTACATGAACAAGTTTTCAATCAGCTGAATGGCAATTAAGAGAGGCAATAACGGCTTTGTTTCCTTTCTCAATTAGCAAGTAGTACAACATTTTTTAGAGTTTTTTTTTCTTTTGTTACCTGCAAATCTTGCTTCAAGCTCCTCGCTTTTATTTGGGATGATATAATTATTGGAAGGCACGAAGGTGCAGCATGGACAATGTAAGCTTATCTTAAATCCAAGGTTCCTGTCTGCAAAACATAAAAGTAAGTGGAGGTGGTTTTTACACAAGGAATGACCCTGAAATACTGCTGAGTTAACGGAGAAGCAGTTGGGGCAGGAGTGAAGGCAAAGAGCACTTGTTGTCACCTCTGTGATGCAGCCACTCATGTACAGCCTCAGTGACATCAAAAGACAACCATTCTCCTTCAGCTCTTGTTTTAACTACTTTGCTGTCAATGTAGCGTTGTCCTGGTGATGATAATTCCTTAGACTTTAGAACCTGCAAGAAACAACAAATATTACTACCTACAAGTTAACATTTACCTGTTTTTTACTAAAGTGGACCACCAACATTATATAATAGCAGAAGGAACTACTACAGCTCAAACCTCTATACAGCAGATGTATGTTCAGGCACACTTTTGGAAAGAATTTTCTTAGGGCGTGTGCAGGGAGAGGAAGGTGATATAAAAACATCCTAATGCAATCAGCCGATGCTCCCCCCAAAACATGCCAACACATACTCCTTCCTAAGAGAAATCAGACAGAAAGACTGCCCCAAAAACTTGTCCTGTAACACAAATGGTCAAGAGATCATTTTACCTTCTTCAGTAATACTTATACTGGTTAGAGCATAATGTCAGATGTTGAAGTAAAGTCCTTACAATAAAGTCTGTACACTGAAGATACTAGATTGCTCACCCATAACTAATCTGTATGGTGTTGCCTTATTTATGTTTCTAGACTTCCCTGACTTCAGGTACTAATCATACAGTATAAAAAGTTATTGTCCATACAGGTAACCTGGGGGCATGCAGAGACAGCCTGGTGTGAATCATGCCCACACATGCATTTGTGCAACAGGTGATGTTGCTTCAATGTAAGCTTTGATGCCAGCTGTAGTTATTGTGTCGAAAGTTTCACCAGAGCTTGCTATTGAGCATGCCATAAAAAAAATACCTGTACAAAAGAAACCCAGCCCCTCACTTTCAAGACACAGCACTGCAGGCCAAGAATTTCAAGTGCCCCCAGTCTTCCCCCTGTCTGAACAATTCAACCAGTGTCTTCCCATATACAAGCACAGCCTCCTATTATTTACCCTCACTTTAGGATGAAAACAACCGGACTTTTGGCTGCTAACAGGTTTCTGGTTTCCTGGTTATTACTATGTTGATAGTTTTGCATTGCAGGAAGCTGGAATGCCATGCAACACTGTCAACTCCAATTAAGATACCACACGATAACATCACTTCGTAACTTTTGGCATGCCAGCTGTGCAACTTCATATATTGTTTTGGGTTCTTCCTCTCTTTAACCATCCAAGTCCATCTCCAAATGAGTAACTGACAATGTCTCATTGTTTCCTCCTGTTTTCTCAGCCCAGGCCGACCTGACATCTAGCACACGCTGACGGAATAAAACAATGGTGAAACTGCACAGTACATGTAAAGAAAAATATTTCAAAAGAGGTGTGAAACTATGTCATCGTGATAAAATTAGGCTTTCCATAGTTAAACAGAAAAGGAGGCTTGAAAAGGGCAGATTCTGCCCAACATGAAGAGTCTCCCTATTTATTTCAAGGGAGTGACCTCTTAAATGTCAACAGTGCAGCTCCCACATTAACATTTGTCTTATGAGAAGAACAGCAGCATGACAAGCTCTTTGCCTTCTTTCCAGTCAACACATTTAGCAAAAAGACATGTTGGTTTGAGTCCAGAGGATTACTAAGTGCCCCTAGTAGGCGATGCTGTGTTCTTCAGTAGAAGCTGGGGGCACTCAAACACTGAACATTGAGACGCTTTTTTATGAGATAACCTTCAAACAGAGTGTTTGAACAACTGTTTACAGAGTGTCTGGCAGCAGCAAGGGGACTACCGCTGCTCAGAAGTGCCAGAGGGATGAGAGAATCAGTGATCAATGCTGGGAAAGTCCCAGAGAAGTACAAATATAACCTCGCCTTCCCTTTGGTCTTTATCAGGTCAACTCAAGTGTTTCTGAGGATGTAATGCAGCTGTCATTCTGCAAAGATGTGTTGGGGTGGGGAAAGGGGGGGTGTGAGGCAAATGGGACACCAGAACTTGGCTCATTTCTCTTCCTTTCTGCACAGTCATATCTTTCCAAAGATTCCAGAAACTGCATACCTCAGTTCTGGCAGTGATGTAAGGATCCAAAAGTAAGTAATGTGCCAAAAGCAACCTCCCGATGTTAACTATAATCGGTCTTAGCTGAAGACAGCTGTGCCTTGGTATCCAAAATAAAATGTCTCTATCCCAATTCCATTACTACTGAAAGATAAAGTTGAGGGCTGACAGTGTGTACCTGGCATGAAAGGCATTTGAAAAAGGACGAGAAATTGTCACTGCATGTATCCAATGGTACAAAGAACATCTATCCCCATTGGCAAACTGAATGACAAGAAAAGTGTTTGCAGGTTTCAAAACTGTAGGACACTGTACGACAGGATGGACACTGTGGATTAGAAGAACTAGAATATTATCCATACTATGGTATCTATGATACCTGAAAGTAAGGCTTCTCTCCTTGTTGTTTATGCTGCATGTTCAGGAAGAAAAATATGAAGAATGAGCTAAAAAGTCACAACCTAAATATGGCATAATTTCCAGAATTGATGTCATAGGTTAAACAGGCACTAGCAGCTCTTAAGCAAAGGACTGTCAAGTGTGATGAGTGCCATACTTAGTGAAATTACCATGTCTGGTTCAATCTCCTTCTCCAGGGCTGACTAAGTATTTTTATAGTGTTAGGGTGATGTATGATCTTAACAAGGTGATTGCTTGGAAGCAAAAATTATCATCTAGCCTCATCATTTCCATTTTTTCCTTCTTTTTCTGTTGTATCATTGCAAATGTGGAAAGCTAGCGGATGATAAAATCCTAGGCTGGATCCTCTGATTCTATTTCCCCCTAAAAATAACCAGATGAAGGACTCTTTTTGCTTCTTTTCCTACTCTGCATTCTATCTTTCCATCCACATGGAAGCAATTGCATTCTACACAGTGGTGAACAAAAGGGCCTCTTTGCAGAAACCTATCAGAAATTTTTACAGCTACAATACATTCTTCAAATGAGTCTTCCAGAAACTATCACACAAAATAAACATTTTAAATTTTCTCTGTCATTTTCCCCCCTTGGTTTGCTTCTTTGTACTTTGTATTACATTTCTTGTTCTACCTTCCCCACTAGCAAAACACCTTTTTCTTCTGATACACCCATAAGCCTGTATTCTCATTGAAAAACTTCTTTCAGTACGTCCAATATTTTCTTCCTACTAGATCAACCAGTTTAGTTGCAAAAAAAAAAAAGATGAAAAGACTTTTCTGTGCCTTCCAGCTCTTGTGCTTGAAAGCCCGTCTACTTCTTCCAACTCTACTGATTGGTCTTAGGAGAGAGATTACCTTTACCTATAAACATTGCCTTGCCTTGCCTATAAACACCACCTTACCTTTATGCTTAGCCCATCACAACCACATCAAACACTGTTATCAGAAAAGTTGCTGCACAACTTGTACCTGCAGGAGCTAAATGAAGGCCGAAAATGTAGGGCTTTATGCAAAAGAGTTCTCAGTGCACTACAAATATTAACAGAAGGAAGGGGAAAAAAACACCCTCACAGGAGAGAATGAATACTGAGTTTAATCCTTTTTCCTTTCCTTCTGGCACCTCATCCAAACACTCCCTCTTAAAGAGGCAGAAAGAGTTTGGTTATGTCTATGGGTCATGAAGTGGATGGCGAGGGCTTTCAGGGTGGGAGGAGAACTGTGCATCACCACCTGCATGTGGAGATGACAGATTCAATCACTTGCATGAGTAGGAGACAGAGTTTCCACACACACACAACCTCACCTCCCTCACTTACAAGCCACGCATTAGAACACCTGCACGCACGAATAGCTGATGACGCACAACCGCACGCCTGCAGGTGTGAGCACGCACACCTTCACACACATGTGAGTGAAAGCTCAACCTCAACGAGCTCAAAATTCAGGTTGTGCAAAGTCTGACCAGCTTCTGAACACCAGGATATTATTGCAGGTGTATCTGTTTATTTGGACTCCCTTTCAACACTGGTAATGCAATGCTGTCTTTTCTAATATAGGATTATGCAGGGAATATACGAGCTGAAGAGGTAGAAGTGTTACCAAAAGGTTATCCAGTAGACTTCTGGCCCAGTATGTAGAATAATTTTCAATCAGCAGCAGTGCTCTAAATTCTAAGAACAAATTGGTTTTGTCTACCCTCCTTTCATAGGGGATTCCTCCCTTTCACAGGAAATCAGTTTGCCAAAGTGCTTATTAATCTCTTCTTGACAAAGTAGCTTGTACACTTAAGCCCTGCCTTTTAGCTATCTCTTTCTACAGGCACTGCCAACCTTTTTCTCATCATTTGTTTTTTTCCTATTCTGATCATTCTTAAAAACACCTGGGGAAAAAATATCTTACACATAGCTATGAAGGATCTCTAGGTATCACATACATGTGGCTACTATCAGCAGACGAAGGCAAAACAAACGTGAATATACAAATAATGCAGTTTAAACACAGGAAAGAGCTCACGGCGCAGCCAGAGGCAAACAAAGCCTTGCTCTTGCTTGTACAACTACACATGTTTAGGAAGCCCAGCCAGGGATCTTGGTGATGACAGCCCTCACATGCCACCCTCAACAGGCCTGCTAGATTTCTGGTATTTTATAAATCCCATTGAAATCTACTCTTCATAGATTCTGCAAAGGCGGTCTGCTCAGTCTTCAGGGGGAGACCCTCTGCTCTGCTGGCAGGGATTTGTCCGTGCTCCTTCTCGTCTATTAAAGGAGGCCGGACCATGATGCTATCTTGGAAGCATATCCCAAATCACCATGACCAGGGCATTCAGTGGTGAAAAGCTTCAGTTTTGTCACAACCTGGTTTGAGAAGAATGACAAGAGAGTTTCCAGAAAACACTGATCTCTATATTACTTCTGCCACCTGCTATGCCTATTTTTCAGATCAACTGGAGAGCATTAACTGACATATTTTTTTCACATTTAACTATCAAATGGCTGAAATCTTCGTTAAAATAGAGGAGGATAAAACTGTTTATTTATATGCACACATGTTTATACTCTCAAGTAACTATAACACATTGAGTACAAAAATAGGGAGAAGGATTGTCTTAGTCTGTATTTTATAAACTGTAAAGTACAGTGAGAACACTATATAACTCATGACAACAAACAAAGCAGAATGTTTACAAAATTAGCAGAAACATGCTCTCTTTAAAAAAA